CCATAAAGCAGGGGATGCTTTAGGGCGGGGCTACACGGTGATTGACATGTCTCTACCAGAGACGAGTCTCTACGTCACTCCTCCTCAGTCCAGATATGTTTTTACCATGGTTTAACTTTGACTGTAATGTTTTGCTTTGTCCATCAAAGTGCTTTTTAAACTCTGTTTTTAAAAGTGCTATGTAAATAAAGTTCTTCTTCTTCTTATTATTATTATTATTGTTGTTGTTCTGTGGTAATTACACCGTCTGTCCCTGTTCCGTATTCTATTGGCGCCCACGAAAGCTGTTTACCAACCGCCATTAAAAGCAAAAGAAGAAGGAGAAGGAGGAAGAGGAGGAGGAGGTTGAGGAGGAGGAGAAGGAGAAGAAGAAGGAGGTTGAGGAGGAGAAGAAGAAGAAGGAAAAGAAGAAGAAAATGGGCGCGGCAGTACGTTTGCCTCCAGCAGTGGGCGTGGTCGTCTTCTTCGTTGGTACAACTGTTGTCATGTTGCCGGACACATTCCTCACACAGGTGAGCTGTTAGCTGCTGCTGAGCCGCTTGAAGCTGCGCCAAAAGCACAGGAACTGGGTACGTACTTTACACTCTTAAACATGAGACGGCTGAACTTTGTTTTTTTAATTAAAACGTTTTATTTTTTCGGTTACAAGTTGTCCAGAATGGGAGGACGGTGTAAACGGAGGGAGCTAAAGGAAACCAGTGATGGGACATCAGCGGCTGGTGTCTCTCCTCTACCGGAGACACACTCGCCTGTTCCCGGCTTCACTGACCAGGATGTGGGCGGTGGTAACAAAGGTAACTTATTCTGGCAACTTGAACCTGTTCCCGGGCATAGTATGAGCAAAGGCATGCTGCGCAGGTAAAGGTAAAGTGAAACTGCAGTGATGTAAACACCTGTAAAACAGCTCAAAACAAACGCATTATAGCCTTCATTAAAGCGGGATTCATCTAATAAACGTTCAACGTAGTGTGTGTCGTGTATGTGAAACAACTGAAAAGTGACATGCATACAATACATATTCAGTTTTTATGTAGTGGATAAAGTTGCATTAAATGTAAATACTCAACTAAGTACACGCACCTCAAAATCCTACTGAAGCTCAGTACTTCTTTATATACTTGGTGACTTTCTAAGCTGAAAAACTGTTGTGTTTTTGTTAGATATTGACACACCAGTTGTCATGATTAATATGTTTCTACTATCAGGTTTTCATTCAGCAGGAAAAGGATAAAACATTGTTTTTGCTCCTGCAGTCCTTGGAAAGCTTGTCGATGAAGCCGTTAAAGCTCGTTCATTTAATATTAATCTAATGTGTTTACAGCTCAAATAGAGTCGGAGGATAACTTTGTGTATCAACTATTTTTCTGACAGAAAGTAAACCTCTTCCTGTCATCTCAACACTTGTTTTATACGACATATAGTCTGATTTTGACTGTTGGCCTCCTCCATCTAAAGCAGTGTGTCGTGTCAAAGCTGATTCTGTGTCGTCTGAACCTGAAGGTTTGTCCTCCATCGTGTCTTCACCAGGCTCAAGATGTTCTCTTTACGGCGATGAGAAGGTCTACCCCGGGGTCCGTGTCAAGATGCCAGTGAGGGATCTGCTGAAGAAGATCCGCGTAGACAAAGGCTACGAAGTTCATGACTTTCAGGTGAATGTTTGTGGTTTGTTTCTTTGGCCCGAGTGGACCTGGCTCTGTGATTAATCCAACAATCCAATCCAACAGCTCTGTAGAGTTTACAGACAAACGGGTCCTTCTTCCTTTCTGTCTCTTTTTGCAATTAAAACATACTCGAATATGAAGACACTTCCTGATGATAACAATAAAACAACAATCTACATTTTAAAAATTCATAAAATTAGTAACAAATCAGCATCAGGTGCTTTGTGTTGTTAAGGTTCACCATAATGTGTGATTGTACACAGAGGACATGTCTTCATGTTCTCTTTCATTTATTGCTTTAACATGTAAAAGTCACCAAACTGCAGTCATGTGAAAACCTTTAAAGTGGTGATATCAGGACAGATTGTAAGTGTTTACATCACATGTACTCTTTATATAGTTTGGCTTTCTAAGCATGATAAACATCTGGATGTCTTCATCTTTACTCTGAAACCTCTGGCTTGTAGAGTCCTTCCTCAGATTCCTTTCATGGATGACAAACTACTCCACAGTCTGAAATGTCTTTACCTGCCTAAATGTGCTGAGCGGTAGGTGTAAAAACTCCAGACATATAATCTATAATATGTTTGTTTCTTCTTCTTTCACAGAAGATATACGGCAAATCAGTCAAAGGTCAGTACAACCCAGATCCTTGAGAGTTAGTAGTTTATGTGTTCCTCCTTTAACTGTTAATGAGCTAAAGTTTAAAACCTCCTGCAACAGAAGCTCAGACGTGTGAGAGGACTACTCTGTAAGTCTGAATGGTGTCTGATGCTTTTATTTTGTAGAAAGTATCTTAACTAATAGATGCTATTTAGTTTAGTCGACGGAAAACAAAACGCTGATCAACCAGACTGAAAAGAGACAAAGATCCTCTGAGCAACAGTAATTGGTCAAAAATAAACTGGAAACGTAGATTTAAACAGCTTCCTGTTTCACAATAAAGCAGCCGAGAACAAGCTGGAATCAACATCCAAGGTGTTGCTTTAAAGAAGCTCTTCTTCAAGCTTTACAAGAGAAATGGGAACAGAAACCGTCTACTTTGAGGAAAAACATGCTTCATTGTAATCTGAGAGTTCATCGTTCTTTTTCATCCGCAGGAGACGGACATAAAGTCAAGATGCGTGCAGCGCAGCGAAGTTACAAGGTGAGTGTACCCAGACCTCAGGTAAAAAGGCTTTAAATCACCTGTCTGTTTTCAAATACCTCCGCATACCTTCACCGTCTTTTGTCACGCAGAGAAAGCGCTCCACAAAGAGCCTGGAGGAGCTGGCGATCATCGTGGAGGTGCTGGAGGAGGACCTCAGGACGGGCAACACCTGCCGCTACCCTCCCCAATCTCTGCCGTCCCCCAACCCTCCAGTGTCTCCTGACTGGTCTCAGACCGGTAAGTCACGAGGGACCACACCTACATTTTGATATAGTTTCACCTAAAAACATTCAACCGCGATAAATATGTTGCCAGCAGCTACAACCGCTCTTTGGCTAGGGATGCCAGGGAACCGGTTTGAACTGTAACCGCGGTTATGAAAGTCACATAATGATTTATTTTATCAATACAAATTAAATCTTTTATTTCCTAATAATTTGAATTGTTTTTATGAAGAAAATAAAAGCAAATTCTTGATGATAATAAATATTTTAGTTTATTATTCACAGGCCCTTTAGAAATATCCTGGTTAATAATCTTAAATACCGTAAAACAATGATATTTCCGTGATATATTTATATTTCATATTTATATTTTCACACGCCGTCCCTTCTCACTGAAGGCTCAGGGTACAACAGTGACGAGTCCGATGAAATGATCCCCAGCCCCGACTTCTACGGGACCTCCTCTCTGTGCTCAGCAGGCAAGTACCAGCAGGCCCGGTCCCATCCGGGCTTCACGCGCACCGGCCTCCAGCCCTCCGGCATGGGGAACATCGGGGGAGTCGGTGGAGGAGAGGGGCAGTGGGCCAATACCCAGAACCAAGACGGGAACCTGTACAACCTGTACAACTCCACTTTCTTCTGGGCTCAGCTTCAGAGAGAGGAGAGCCAGCTCGGGGACGTCTCCGACGCCGAGCTGCTGGCCCACGACGAACACGGCAGGACGTGAGTTTGATGCCGCTGTGTGT